GTTTAAAAGTTGTCTATTGAAGCAAGTTACAAATGTCTAAGAAACTGAAGTTATCTAAAGATATTTTATTATATATTTTTTTACTATTTTTAACTGATACTATTACATACCAGTTCATCATCATAAATCCTTTTTTCAGCACACTGTCTTCGCTCCCAATGAATAAAAGGCACTTTCATGCTTTCTTTAGAACCATGGGCACAGCTACTTTACAGGGCAAATGAGGACTAATACAACCAATGCTCCATAATTTCATAATTTAATGGTATCCGGAGTTCTTCTAATGTTCCTGTAAAATGAAATCTTATGAAAAAGTGTTCAGATATAATTAATTAAGTATTAAGTAAATAATGTGCACGATACATTGTTAAAGTAATGCTGAATCTTTTTCTTTGTTAATATCAAATAAATACACTACATATAGAAAGTATAGTATGCATGCTCACCTTAATTAACTACAAGAGCCTCCAAGATGAAAGGTTTACAGCTAAAACACCATAGGAGACGACTTATCTTTTCAGTAAGCAAAGATATCAGTTACAATCTCTCTCAACGAGAACCAAATTAAAAACGCATACTTTATTTATTTATTTATTTAATTAAATACCAAAGAATGATAATACATTTATTATTTAGAAATACAATTTACATTTATTATAACAAAGTACAAATTTATTTCAAATAACAATACATTAATATAAACAAAATGCTTAAGATATAATACATTTTAAGGACTTATAAAAGTTAAAAATAAAACACCTGTAAGACAATAAAATCAATAAAATTTCAAAGCAAATACAATAAAAACCATCATATTCTCTACATAAACTGTCATACCATTATTATCTAATGCAAGATTAGAGAGAAAAAAGCCCCCCCTAACCTTCTGTGACCTCCGCATCTCCCCTTATAGCCACCCTATCCACCCAAACGAACATTAATTTTGAAAGTGTAAACAAATAATTAATTCAATTAACAATTACGCCAAAAAATCAATTTAGAAACATTTTAAATATCAACCTAAGTAATGATTAAACAGTTTATGCAGTAAAAAACAAAATACCTGTAAAAGAAAGATAAGGAAACATGAAATTTCAAAGAAAATACAATAAAAAGCAAACAATACGATGTCTTCAGTCTTNATATCTGTTACGCAGAAAATTTAAATATTTAATCCTTTTCTTTTCTACCTTTCTCTCAAATGAAAGTCAAAATATATGCGGAAAAAAGAATTAAACACTCGTATTAAATAAATGAAACGTGAAATAAAACAAAAACACGTAATAAAAAACCAGTCAAAAACGAATAAAATAATAAAACATTAAAAATGGCGACATAGCCACCTGATGTTTTAAGATATAACCTTTAACAATTTTGTCAATTTAATTTATGCTGTGGGCAAATACGAAGAATAGTAATAGAATATCAATCAATCAAACTAACCTTTCAGACGTAGAACAAATTAAAACTAATTTTGCGAAAAAATTAGCTCGATAAGTTCAAATTAAGAGATGCGAAAACACGTCCTTCCACCTCGAAACTTTATGAATTATAATGCACCAAACGCGTCTCAGGCTTGTCGCAAAATTGCGATAGCTACTGCACGAAGCACTGATGACGTAGACAAACGCCAATCAGAAGCATCGAATTCGATGTCTGCGAGGCTATAACCAATCGCGTGCCTAGTTTTATCCCCGTTTTACAGAATTCAATTTATGTGGCTTTTTGCTTCGTGAGAGTTCTATCGCCTGATCACAACTCTGAAGATTTATGTGTTTTTGGGATATAATACAATTCGACCAAAGGGACAAGTTGAATTTTTAAACATTAAACGAATGAAATTAAGAAACTAGATAATTGCATTATAACATTTTAGAACTACCTTATTGTTATTTTTAAAAACATTGCACGCAATTAAAGTTTTTCTAGTAATTATATATAGTAATATTAACAAACAGATTCTGTGGTTTAATTCTCCTATGCCCGAATTATTAATAACCTTGATGTATATTAATTATTTAGAATTTTAAGCTTTTAGGTAACTAACTAACTATAATTTGTAGTTATTTTGTACCAAAAGATGACATAATGTGTACTTTGTATACGTATACATAATGCAGTCAATTAATTTCATTCAAGTGTTTAAAAAAAAGCAAAAGATGACATAGATGATATAGACGACTGCTCATATAAAAAAAAAACATTTAGAATGTATTATTCATCTTATACAGGAACGTAGGATGTTTTAGTTACAAAATCGTTGTGAAAAAATTGACAAGCATCTTTCTTTGGCATAAGGGTGGGAAATTTTAATTTTCATTTGGGATAATTCAAAATCACAGCTGGTTTTTTCCTTTCTTGTGCCAAAGATGGTGCAGGACTTTTTTACAAGGGTTTTATAACTAAAACTTAACTTTTTTTTCCTTGGCATGCGATTTAAAAACACGGATATTTTTAAAAATACAATACTTTTTGAAATGGTAGAAATAAATTTTAGACTTCAGATGTCTACGAAATAAGCAACTGTTACAAATTTCTCAATGTTTGGACAGAAGATTAAAATTCATGGCGTTGTAACCATATGCTACCAAAAAATGAAATTAGGAAACTAGGTAATTGCAGTATAACATTTTAGAAGTACCTTATTGTTACTTATAAAAAATTTGAGCACAATCAAAGTTTTTTGGTAAACGAATACAGTTTCTGTGGTTTAATTTTCTTGTTCCCGAATTATTAATGACCTTGATGTAGAATAAACGGATACAAACAATGTTAAAATATGTCGATTTTAGTTATTCAGAATTTGAATCTTTTATAAAATTATTAGTCTAAAATTTGAAGTTATCTTGTACCAAAAGATGACAAAGTACACTGTACATATGTCATTTTTTGGTTTTCCTTAAATAGGTAGGTACTTAAATGAAATTAATTGACTCTGCATTATTCCAATTTACCATAATTTTTATTATTTATTTTCAAAATTCCAAAAACAGGTATGTCGTATATGCAACCCAACATACGCCAATGTACGATAATATACTCGTAAAAACTATTACGAAAATATTTATACAAAAGCATCGTCATTTACACAAATTAGATATAATTTTAAGCCTTGTGAAAGTACGTAGAAATGTGTAGAACTTGATGGTGATGACAATTTTCATACTTTAGGAAGAATAACATTTTAACTGACTAATAGAATATACTACTTTTAGTAGAAGATAGTGTTGTTGGCCATCCTGTAGATTTACATGTGTAACATTTGGTTAGAAAATGTTACTAACGTATAAGTTTTAAATCAAGTTTGAACTTTGAGTATATATTTGTTTTTATTTTATTTGTGTACTGTATATTCGTTCAGTAAACGGTAAGAATAATTAACATAAGGTTATAAATTTGTTAAAATTTTGGTGGAAATTTCTTGTGGTGAAGCGTGACTATTAGAATTTTTACGGTATTAACAGCAGTTTTTAAGTCATGTCCCTCATCGCCACTTCATCAACGGATATTAAATTTCATTTATGGCTCGAAGGCAATCTAAAGTATAGCTATTTGCCGGTTAGCCACTCTAGTGGGTTCATAAAAACCTTATCTTGGGCAAAAGATGGAACATGGCTTGTTCTTATTCCCACTTCAGGATATGCAGAAATTGTTAGTGTAAAAGATAGTGTAAAGTTGTTGCTAAAGATTAAAGATATTCATCAGCCTACCTGTGCAATTTTTCCAAAGACAACAAAGAAGTATATTGCACTGGGCACTTACTCTGGACAAGTATTGATTTATGATATTAAAAACAAAAGTATTCGGAAAAGATTCCCAAGAGCATCTTCGTGGATTCAAAATGTTGATTGCAATGCTAACGATACTCATTTAGCTGCTGCCACAAGTGCAGGTAAATATTTAAAATATTAAAGGTGAGTGTATTTTTACTTTTTGTATCTTTATAGGAGATATTCTAATTTATAATATGACTGCCTCAAATTTAATTGCAACATATAAAATACCAAATTGCAGTAGTGCAAGTACAATATGTTTTCATCGTACTAAAAGAAATTTGCTAGCTGCAGGAAGCGAAGAGGGCATTGTAGCTGTTTGGGATATTAATACTAATGAAAGGAAAGCCTCATTTCAGGCTCATTATGCACCTGTAACAGATGTAGCTTTGTCTCCTATAAGATCTGATCTGGTAGCTACTGTTGGAAAAGATAGGCAGTTTATGTTTTATGATGTCCACAATAAAAAAAATGTTCTTCAAATGGAAGTTCCCAGTTCAATGTTGGCTTTGGATTTTAGTCACTGTGGATTATATTTAGGAATGGGATCTCAAAATGGTCATGTTGTTATTTATGACATGAGAAATTTGGCAAAGCCTGTTAGTGCCTTTCCTACTCACGAAGGTAAGATATCATAATGGTATTTGTTATATTTATCGTTATGCATATGTGTCCCTAATTACAAAGTTTGATTGATATTGAATAGGTAAAAAAATCACAAGAGTTTCTTTCCAACGTGCTCTCAATGTAACAGAAGAAGAAAGCTCAACAACCATAATCGACGATAATTTTGTAACAAACGAATCAATTAACGATAAGCAGAATTCCTATACAACTTCGCCTTATCACTTCAATGATCAGAGCAATACCAATGATCAAGAACATGCAAAAGATATCGGGGACTCGTTTTTGGTCTCATTAGAAAATTCAAATAGTTACAGTATTGTTACAACTCCACAGCACGAAATTAATTTTTCTTTTCCGAAAGGTACTAGCGCCGTTACGTTGGAATCGTCAGAGAAAAAGAATCAACAATTTCTTGGAGATGTCAATAAAAAAACGCCAGCCTCTTGTAATAAGAAGGCGGCATCAACGCCGAAATATTTGCAAGCTGAAGTGCCTATCGGAGTTAATTCTCCCATTATCTCTCCCGTTTGTCCGCCAGTGAATTTAACAGATATAAAAAAAGTTTTTACAGAAATTGTTCATGAGGAACTGAATACGCTTAAGGCAGATCTTAGACACGAATTTATGGAATCAATGGCACAAACCCGACGCCAGTTTCTTGATTTGCAAATGTTCCTCGTTAAGGAGTTCATAAACGTCGAAAATACTGTTTATAAAGTAAGCGGGGTAACTGTTGAAGAATATGCAGGTGATTCTCAAGTTCTAAGAGAAAATATTAGACTGAAACAAGAAATTGAATTATTAAAAGAGAAAGTAGTGGAGAAAGATAATCCACCAGATTTTTCGTAGCACTAATTTATTAATTTTTTTCATCAATAAATCGTCCTGGTGTAGGATTAATTGTAAATTTTGAATATTTGAAAAAAAAATGTTATATTAATTAAGGAAGTTAAACTAATAAATGTCTGTTTTTTCAATTTTTTATTCATGTTAATTATTTTTTGCAATAATTTGAAAATATTTTTAGAAAAATAATGGCAAGTAAATCTTAATAACAATCGCGCCGTAGGTTTTTAAAAAAAGATGTTTATTCAAGTATCTATGAACATGATCGGTCTGTTTGGAAGATATTGGGTATGTTCAACGAAACATCATTTAGTAAGTATCATTTTATTAACTTCTTGCTGATCAAGTGAAAGTAATGTTTGATTTGTTTGAAAAAATAAAACGCAATACACTCAAATTTGAATAATTTGCAAAACATTATGTCAATATTAGGAAAATTTATGCGGCCATTTTGTATCTGATCGCTCAGTTCTATTGCACATATCCATTTTCATAGATTAATCTAAAGACAAACCGCCTGCGGTTCGTTGGGTTTTATTTGACACATAGATAAGAGATATTATAGTAGAAAGTATTATATATCTCTAATCTATGATTTGACATTGTATATTTCTTTAATCTATGGTTGGGTTTCATTAGCGAAGGTTCTTTTACACGTGTAAATAGAAGTTAATTTAGAAAATATAATACGTGTAATATAATTACTGTTAATTGATGAAATACAGTTAATCGTCCAAATTATTTTTAATTCGTGGGTGAATGTATTATAACTTAATTTTTTGGATCCCATATTTGCATGCAGACGTAATAACTGCCTTGCAGAAAATTCTGATTATTAATTTTTGAATGTGCTAACTAATACACATAACAATGCCTTTGTCGTGTAGATTTTATAAAGAAAAGTATCCAGAAGTGGAAGATGTAGTTATGGTTAATGTACGTTCGATAGCAGAAATGGGAGCTTATGTCCACTTATTAGAATATAACAACATTGAAGGAATGATACTGTTATCTGAACTTTCAAGAAGACGTATCCGTTCGATAAATAAATTGATTAGAGTTGGTAAAACGGAACCCGTTGTAGTAATAAGAGTTGACAAACAAAAAGGTTATATTGACTTGTCAAAACGAAGAGTAAGTGCAGAAGATGTTGAGAAGTGTACAGAAAGGTTTTCAAAAGCCAAAGCAGTTAATTCAATCTTAAGACATGTGGCTGAATTGCTCAAATATGAAAATGATGATCAATTAGAAGAATTATATGAAAAGACTGCTTGGCATTTTGAGGAGAAATTTAAAAAGAAAGCTGGTGCCTATGACATCTTTAAACAAGCTGTTTTGTAAGTAATCTCTAATTTCTAACAGGTACATCCTTCTTGAAGAATATATATTAATATACTAGGTACATATTGTTGCTAAATAAAAAAGTAAAAAATCTAGTAATGAGAAACTCGTTGGTGTAAATGCAGAGCTGCCGTTTTAAAGATTTCTTCAAAAATTTTTTTATAGAGATCCTAGTATTTTGGACGAGTGTGGATTAGATGAAAATACAAAAGAAGTGTTGCTAAGCAACATTAAAAGAAAATTAACATCCCAGGCAGTTAAAATCCGGGCAGATATCGAGTGTGCCTGTTATGGTTATGAAGGAATTGATGCTGTAAAGGCAGCTCTTAAAGCTGGACTTGCATTATCCACAGACGAACTGCCAATTAAAATTAATCTCATAGCTCCACCACTATATGGTAAGCAAATATCAGCTTACAAGTAATCCAGTTATATATTAAACAGTTTATTGCAACCTGCCAAATTACTATGAACTTTTATAAAACAAAGTAAAATTGAATTTAGTTAATCTACTTTTTAGTAATGACAACTTCTACACCAGAAAAGCAGGACGGACTTAAGGCTTTAAATGTTGCTATAGAAACTATTGAAGAAGCAATCACTAAATTGGGAGGAGTGTTTAAGGTGCAAATGGCTCCTAAAGTTGTAACAGCTACAGATGAAGCCGAATTAGCTAGGCAGATGGAGAGGGCGGAAGCAGAAAATGCAGAAGTGGCTGGAGATGATGATGAAGAAGAAATGGAGGAAGAAGGAGAAGCAATTAATGGTGAAGAAGTTGACGACGATAATAATGACGATATGGATGATGTGTATTGAATGATTTTTTTTTAATAAAAGTTACAGTAATATTAACAAACGACGTGTTTTTAATAAAAATAAATGGCCCTAGTTGAATGCGGAACGTAATAAACTATTAGAAATGGATAATTAACATATGCAACTAATATACATGCACGTATTGATTGTTGTCTACCCAATATCTAATTTTAATTTAAATATACGTATACAAATAATAACGTCAAAAGTTCCGAAATTTAAAACAAATGCAATAAAATCTGCAACAACCGATTTTTTTATAAATACAATATAAATAAATTAACCAAAAAAAAAATGCAATTATTGATTCGGATTTGATGTTGTTAATGTAAAAACCATGGCAATATTGATTAATTTACCTAATAGTAAGTACAGTTACGAATTAGTTTATCGTTTTGTATATTATTTATCATGGGAATATTTCAAAAACTAGTGTCTTTCTTAGGCATTAATAAAAAAGAAGTTAATATTTTAGTGGTAGGCCTAAATAACAGTGGCAAATCGACAATTGTTAATCATTTCAAAGACGGAGAAAACAAAACTCATGAAATAGTACCGACTGTCGGATTTCATATAGAAAAATTTGAAAGTAAGCAAGTATCAACAAAAGGAACATATTTCACAAAAATACGTTCCGCAACACGATGAAAATTTACCTAAGTAATTATGACAAAACGATTTCATTTTTCCTTTTAGATAAAAATCTTTCGTTTACGGCTTTCGACATGTCCGGCCACGGGAGGTATAGGGACCTTTGGGAACATTATTACGAAGACTGTCACGGAATTATTTTCGTCATCGATAGCACCGATACCTTTCGTTTGATAGTGGTAAAGGACGAATTGGACACGTTATTACAACATCCTCACATAAGAAATAAAAAAATCCCACTTTTGTTTTTCGCAAACAAAATTGATTGTCCGAATGCCTTAAGTAGCGTTAAAATCGCTGCTTCGTTAGGACTAGAAAGGATTATGGACAAACCGTGGCATATATCCTGCAGTAACGCAATTACAGGACACGGACTGCACGAGGGAGTCGAGTGGTTGACGCAGGAAGTTAGACAAATTGTTGCGACAAAAAAATATTAAAAATTCACTTAATTGTAAAATCTTTTTTTTTTTTTAATATATCTGACATTTATATCTGTTCCTGTTTCATGTAATTCAAATTGTTAATTTAAGATAATTTTGAAAACTCTAAGACCGAGGTAAAAATACTTTTTTTAACGGACTAAAAATATTTCTAAAATTAAGGAATGTGATTTTGATTAAGTACTTATATATATTAATTGCACCATGATTATGCAAACAATTACTAATATATTTTCAGATTAAGTTTTATTTTATGTTAAGTTATTTAATCTTTTATTAGGTGTTAAGATTTAGATTTAGATTACAATTAGATTACATCGTCAAGCTGAAGCATTTGGTTGCTTTTTTTATGCTGAAGTTACAATAATGTGCATTACTTCCGAGATAGATATGCATACGTTACGAAAACATAAGAAAAGTTGCAAATTCGTAATGCATTTTTGATGGAAAAATACTTAATACACTACTGTTACTACTTAATGGTGCTCAATTACAAACAGTGAAAATAAATCTTATGAAATAATGACGAAATTTTTTATTTTTATCGTAAAACGTAAATGCTTATGTAGATCGTTAATCTTTAAAGGTTTTATCAATCTTTACACACCGTATAAAGAAAAAGTGTAAATAAAAAACGATTGGGACTCTTTATTTGATCGTATTACGTGAAGACGCACGGAAGACGTAAGGGTTGTTTCTGTTCAGTTATTTTGTTCGGCAAAAGCTTTATTGATCAAAACTTTAGGCCAGTAGGGCACTTGCCGCTAGTAATAACACGTACCGAAATAATAATATTAATAATTTGCACTGGCAGAATTTAGCAAATATTTCAGGCGCATCTTTATCATGACCATTGTCTTACATGTACAAAATACCACACGATTAATTGTCTTGTTGGATTACTCGTCCCTTTGGACGAAGGATGCGGGAAGGAACCGTTTGATCCTGTAGGTGGGAAACGCGCCTGTCCAGGATAATTGTATATAATACGTACATATATATGTGTATATACATTTCTACGTCTGCAGTCATTTCCGTGAACACTAAAAGTCCTGCAGTATAAAATAGGTACAACCTAAATGTGCAAGTGGTATAATGTGATGCTTTTGATGATAAATTTTGGGTGTCAACCTGATATTACGAATCTTAATTTTCACTCTCCGATCCTCAAGTTTACTGAGAATAATATAAAAGGTAAGACTGAAAGAATTACTAAGAAATTGAATTTCGTACTTTTGCTTTCGTATTTACGGAAGGTTCAATTCGATGGGAAATAAAATAAAAAGATGCCTAATTATATTTATATAGGTACCTGTTATCGACGACCTACTTGCAAAAACTCGCGCACTAATTTGTGGAGTAGATAATAAAGTTTAAATTATTCATCGAGTTAATGTAAAAAACTGCGTAAATTCACAATTGATAGTAGCTATTAAGTCCCAATCAACCATTAAAAAAATAAACTAATCCTGTTAGACGAATATTGCTCAAATTGAAATGTTGTTTCAGATAAACAACTTCTAATACCAGAAAAAATGTAGCAGAAGGATTTGAGCGTTAAAGAAGTTAACGTTTCGACAAAAATGTGATTCACAATTTATACATAATGAATAATTTCGAGCGATAAAGTATTTACAAAATTGTTTACAAACACAAATATTTTAAAGTTTTGTTAGCGATTCTGTCAGACTTTTATCAGTTAAACGTTATGGTGGTAAGTATTACAACAGATAAAAAATAGACTTTACTAAATTCCGATTGCTTAGATCTGATTTGATTACCTAGACTGATTATGTGTATTTATCATTTTCATTAATACACCTTCAAGTTAAAACAAGTTTGACGATAGTAATCGCGCGAGTTATTAAAAAGTACCAATACTGACACAAATGATAAGGGAAAGGTACCCTCTAATGTAGGTATGGTATTGCATAAATTTGATACTATGTCCACGAAACTTTGACGATGATATAAGTACACATGCATCATCAACGTCTTTTTTGATTCGGCAGGGAAAGCCAAGGTGAAATATGATACACCAGTGGCTTAGTATAGACGGCATTATGTCAATCAATTTGATGCATTTGCTCTTCCTGGCATAAATCTAGCCCCTAGATCGTATAAGTACTCTAGGTTTCGTGTACTTACTTACTATTATTATATTATTAGTTAGAGACATATTTATTAATGACGACTTACCTACATTCACGATTCTTAAATAAACTTGAAACTAAAAAGTCGTATGTTTTAGTTGATGTAGGAAAAACAAAATCAAAAATAAAAATCCTTTAACATTCGAATTTGATCTTATGTAGCATGGGATAGAACGGTCCTGACATTCACAGAATTTTAGAAGAGAAAATAAGTTTTGTTGCAGTTGAATTCCGAGTGGGCTCAAGTGGAAGTGATTGATTTAATCAATGACGGATCTGGATTAGCATTTGGAATAGTCGGTGGTCGAAGCACGGGGGTTGTAGTTAAGAGCATTCTACCAGGAGGGATTGCCGACAGGGTAAATATTTTCGAGATAAAAAGATACTAATAATAGTAATGAGCGAGATTCTTCTATTTCTGAACTGCACTAACGATAAGTCTTCAGTTAGAGACATTTTGACTGTTTTGTATTGTTCGTAAAATTAATTTTGTCGTTACAGGACAGTAGACTTCAAAGTGGAGATCACATACTGCAAATTGGTGGAATAAATTTGCGAGGTCTGGGCTCTGAACAAGTCGCGTCTATTTTAAGGCAATGCGGAGTCCACGTTCGTATCATGGTTGCAAGAGCAATTGATACCAGTTCACCAAACTACCACGTAATTAATTTTTATTTATACGATACCTATCGACTATTTTGTAAAGGAAGAAACGTATTCGTTTTTTGAATTTTTTACTCACTACAAACTACTCCAGGTTAATGAGGGAAAATTGTTGCTGTTGTCACACCTTCGCCGGGAATCGAATCCGGGACCTTTGCCTTTACGCACCAATGCTTTGACCACTGAGGGTGTGACAACAGCAACAATTTTCCCTCATTAACCTGTAATAGTTTGTAGGTAATGGCCAAAAAATTGGAAAAACCAATTTTCATATTAACATTTCGGATTTGATCATAATTACAGAAACCAACTCGAAACGTTGCCATTGTACCAACGAAATTGCTGGTTGATCCGGAGGAACTGGAACGGTACCTTGTTGGCAAAGGATACGCATCATTTTATCAGCAAAGCTTATTCTCGAACGCTGTTGCATATAACGAACAGACATCGGATTTATCTCTACATGTAATAACAATTGCGAACGATTAATAGTAGATAAAATGGCTAATAAATAAATTTCAGCTCTGTTCCGGTTTCGTAGACGTGGTGAAAAGTCCCAAGTCCGTAACCGCTGATCCTGTCGTACCCCATAACGGGAAGCTCGTCTCTTCAACAACGATTCCCGAAACAGAGTATTACACCGTCCGATTGCAGAAAAACGATCTAGGCTTAGGCATAACAGTGGCCGGTTATGTATGTGAGAAAGGTGAAATTTTTAAGTCATCATCATCATAAGGTTATCAGTCCTAAGACTGGTTGGACACGTACCTCCACTCTTTCCTATCCTGAGCTAAACTTCGCATTTCCTTAAAACTAGAACAACCTACATCCTTAACTATTTGCGAACAGTAATCTAATCTCTACCCCTCCTAACTCCCGTTTCTGCCTCTAATATGTCTCTGACTAGACCTTCATGCCTGAAAAGTTCTCCTAGCAAACTATCTCGCCTATTTTTTATTGACTTCCATAGAGTCCTCTGTTCTCCTATTCTTTCCAATACCTCTTCATTTCTAACCTTTTCTACCCACGATATCCTCATCATCCGCCTATAACACCACATTTCGAACGCTT